AGTGATTCTCTTGCCTGCTCCAGTTTGAGAGCTGTAAGTCTGGTGTGTTCTGTTGCTTAGTATTGAAATATTTGACTAGGTCCTTTAAACTCCAACTACCTCAAATGTGGGTTAGTTCTAGAAATGTGTGATGGTTTTGAAGATGGAAGTAGCTTTAGTCAGGGTTTTTTAAATTGCTGATGGGAAATCATTTATAAGCCCCAGAATTAATTTAAGGGTTATAACCAGTATTTTAAAGAAGTAAAATGGAATGGAATAGAATAGAGTGGAATAGACTAGACCAAAAAAAAGGATAAAACATACATGTTTTCACTTACACATACACACACACACACAAATATCTATGTGGGTTCTGGGTTTCAATGTGAAAGGTATTTCTTACAGTGGGTTTCTGCTGAAAAGTTTGAATGCCCTGGACTCTAGGTTAATTTCCTTAATCACTCCCATTTTACTGTTGAGAATATTCCCCATCATATAAAATGACAACTGAAAAGTTTGAAAGGGAAAATGCCAAAAACTACTAATGCCAGAAATATGATACTACCTGAACTAGGATCTCTTGTTATCATGATGGAAAATCAGAAATGTTGATAGCAGATAAAGTGGTCCCTGCCTTAGAATACTCCAGTTAATGATAAAATGAAGCACAGTCCATGAGCCATCTCTGAAGAACCTGCCCTAAGGATTGTCCAGGAGTAAAACTCAGACTCTGGAAAATTCAAATTAAGGAGATATTTATTGAGAGTACAAACAATTAAGTTGGGGAGGTGGTGAATCCTACAGGGTAAGATAGACCACTCCACTGACACACAACTGACAAGGATTTATAAAGACAAAAACCACAGGGATATGTGGTACAGATAAAGCTATCTTCATTGGCTGGCATTGCTACCGTGCAGAGAGGTACAGCTAAAACACTTCTGACTGGTTGACATTGCTGCAGGCAAATAGGGTACAGAGAGGTACAGCTAAAATGTTTCTGATTGGTTGACACTTGTGTTAGTTAGCACAAAGGCATAGAAAATTACAAGTGTGGCAAGGAAAGTCAAGGGGGTATCTTCTGAGAATTGACTGGCCACAAAACTAGTTGCGGGTACAGCTGATTCCTGGAACATATGAGAATAATCTACTAGTATATCTTAGTTTGCAAGGTCTGCAAGGGAAAGTTCTGCAGAGAACAAGTATATATAAGTATATAAGTATATATAAGATGGAGTCACTCTTGCTCCCTTGTCATGAGTCCAGGCTAGGCCAAGAGCCTGTTTTTAGATTGTTCCCTTTATCATTCCCTCCTTTTCATCAAGAGTTTTTTCCAGGAATTCATTGATCACCATCATAAGAGTCTTCTTCATAGACTTACTTTCCTTGATTGCCTATTTAGGATAGGCTTTTAAGACTCCAGATGCTATCTTTAAGAGAGTGATGGGAATTGTTACCTTGCCATATGTAGAGCCTCATCTTCAGGATGAGCTAGTCTCATGTCGTCCATAAAGAAGTAGCCTGTCTTCTGTAAGGGCTTGGTGGTAGAATGGGTTATGGGTAGTTGCTTACCTTTCTAAGC